GAGTCAATGAGTCGATGCAATCAACTGGTTTTCCTTAGATAGAAAACTTTTAATCAATCTGACTGTATGATCTGGTGAACTGTAAAGTGTGTACATGTGTTGTGATTTGGCACAATAGAAATAAGCTGAATTGAATTAAAGCCGATGACAATGATTTTGTCAAACCAATCCCCAATATGTGTTGCTGGTATATTCTGGCCTATTCTTAGATATGAGTTTTTCTTCCTCTATTTATATGAGAAATAGGAACTAATTATATATCATGTTAGAAAAGTCTCAATGCATCTGTTTTACGTGATCTCTAGGCATGGCTGCTGAAGCTCCGACCTTTTCAAAAGCTGCACAAAGAAAAGTCAACAGCTACAAATAAATATTGCAATAAAATAAACTGCAATTTATCTTAAATCACTACAACAAACACCTTTAAAGTGCAGTTATTTTAAGTTAAGCTGTTTATTCTTGTATAAAAGATTTCAATATTGCTATCAATAAACTGGATAATTATTCAATCCATTTCTATCTGCAATTACACTCCACCACCTCTAGGGGACTAGTTTTGTAAACTGCACCGTTAAATTGGCCAAAGTGTTACACATTAGCTGATAATACAATAAAAAAGTATAATATCAGCCAAAAATGCTGACCGATGTATCCATCTATTGCTACTGTGAATACTTGATAAAAACTCATCTAGGGACTGAAACTCACACTGGAAGGAAAAGTATCAATAAAAAAAAGAAAAATTCAGGTGATTCTTACATTTATTTCTAGACTTTATCTATAGGTTATGTGCTCTGATGAACCTCTACCCTAACCTCAAGTCCTGTGCAGAAGCTAACTTTTTTTTTTTTTTAGGACAGTCCCCAAATCAACCCTACCAACCGCTATGTCCTTGTTGAAAAAAGGGCATCTACTACAGCATGATACTGCCATCACCGTACTCCACTTTGGGGAAGATTTGTTTGGGTTATTTGCAGCTGCACCACTGGTTATGGTCACTACAGTAAGAACTTTTGGATTTATGTTTGTAAATGTTTCCCTGTGGTAATAAAGCTATGACTCAGATCTTAACCTTGACACTGTAGCTCTGACTGACTGGTATCATTCTCTCGTTGGTGTAGAAAGTTTCACCATCAAAGCAGTTTTCTTGGGGAATTTCAGAGCATTTAGCTCCATCATCCTTCCTCTTGCCACCACTATGTGTCCATATGAGTATTATATGTTCATTCCACACTTTTAAGATTTTTGCATCCATCTCTGAGTATCATTTCAAGTATAAATATCTGGTACGGAGTTGATCAGTCAGATAAAACCTTGATAAAACACACATAAGGTTGTGGTTTTTCATAGGATGAAATGTGTAAAGTTCAAAGAGTGTTAGCAGAATGTTAATACAGTGTTTTATTAACAGGATGCTGCTTATTGGCTTTCAGTGTTCAGCTGTATTAAGCAGCACAGAGACAATGTGACTGTACCTGCGTTTGCCTTGTTGAGCAGCTCCGCCAGGTTCACCACCCCCCCCTGGATGGCAGGGATCCCCTGGATTATGAACTGTGGCTGGTTGGTGGTGCTGGTCGTCTCGACATTCATGCTCACCTGGTTCATGTTTACCTGGTTCTGCATGCTCTCCTGTCAACAGACACACCAACGTCTGATAAAATGGAAAGATGCAAACACCTAAAAATACTTTTTAAGATTATCCGCCTCAGTTCTGGTTCACAACATTTGATCTAACAAGAAAGTTGGAAGCTTTATCTGGAATCCTCTAAATATGAAGGTTAAAACACATGGAAGTGACTTAATGTCTTTCACTTTTGTCATAAATCGCAGAGAATTTATATTTAAGATAATTAGCAGCAGGACTAAGAAAATAAACAAAAACAAAAAAATAAATAAAGGAGTGGATAAAAAGGCCAATTTCCTGCAGACACAAGTTAAAGCTGCCTGGATGTTCACCTGCAGCAGCAGCATCAGCTCAGTGTTCTGGATGTCCGCCGCAATGTCAAACGGCGTCTTGTCGAATTTACTGCGCGCATGCACGTCAGCCCCATGTTTGATGAGGGTCTCGCAGACGCTCTGGTATCCGTGCTGCGCCGCCCAATGAAGGGCCGTCATCTTCAGCATGTCTCTGGCATTGATGTCTGCACCGCTCTGAAAGCAAATTTTACAGAATTATTATTTTTTTTATTTCCCTGTGATCCCACGTCAAAATATTTTCGACTTTATTTTTGTTTATTTCAATATATCCAGATTATATCCAGGCAGTCCAGATTCTCACCCTGATCAGCAGCTCCACAATTTCTGTGTGTCCCTCTGCAGCTGCCATATGCAGCGGGGTCCTGTCCACTTTGGTACGAGCATCTCTGCTGACGCCAGCTCTCAGCAGGACGTCTGCGGTGGAGTAGTGGCCGTGCTGAGCGGCAAGGTGGAGGGGGGACGTCCCCAGCTGTGGAAAGCACAGGAGATGAAATAAACACTACAAATACTGCTACACATTGCTTCTTTCTCAAAGTAATCATCTCTTTTTCTACATTTTATGATCTCATAAACAAACATCTCTGTATTTTATGTCATGAACCAACAAATAACACATTTGACAATATTTTAGATAAAACACAAACACAGAGAGCATGATGTGAGCATGTATTTGGTTCCCAGAGTTTGCTGCCAGGAGCAGAACTAGCAGTGGAGATGATGGCTTAATGTACTTTCTGGTAAATTTCTCTACTTTCTCAAATAATATAAAGACTAATTCTAGGGGGAAGCATCCCTGCAGGATGATGCTGCCAACACCATGTTTCATTCTGTGAACTGTGTCCAGTGCTAGTTTACTGCGATGCAGAGTGGTTTAGGGGTCTAATACTGGTAAAACTACAGCTCCTCCAGAGACACTTTGGACTTCAAGCTCCTTCTCTGATCAATGCTTCCCCTACATGAAGCATTCTCATTTACTCTGAGATTGAACTATACATTAGTGAAATATGCTTTGTTTATGCAACGTCCAAAGGGATATCGGGTTAAAAAGGACATAATAATGTAGATAAATATCACACAACTAAATCTGTTTATATATACATATATTTTCACAATACTAATTCACCCACAACCTTGTATTAATCTATCACACAAAATCCTAATGAAATATACTGTGTTTATAAATAGACAAATGAAGTATGATCTTTTCTCTGGTGTTGTATAATTTAGCTGTAAAACCAGGTTTATCTTAAAAATCTCCAGCGCTGCTGGAAACAGGCGTCTCACCCAGTCTGTGGTGAACGGCGCTCCATTGGCCATCAGAGTTCGGACTTCATCGTCGTTCCCTTTCCTAGCCGCCTCCAGCAGCCTTTTCCCCAGGTCCACCAGCGACATCTAACACAGATCAATGCAGGAGATCAGGTCCCAATTATGTCCTAAATTACTGCCCTGCATGCTGGAAAGAGATTTTGTTGCACACTTACTAGAAGGACAGCCAACAATCTGATTGAGATTTTTCTACTTAAAGGTATAGTGGAGGATTTTCGTATTTTTTTAAAAGACCCGCCCTCTCCACTTAAAAAAAGAAAAATTATGCACATGCACAACCCTGTACCCGCTCCCGAGAGGGAACACCTGTTAAACACGTGTGAGAGTGTGCACAAGCCCATTTCTCCTCGTGCACGCTCGGTTTAAAAGTTGCTGCTTTCATCGCTCATACAAGCTTACTTTCCAAAAGATAATTTACAATTTTTCACTATGTCAGACTAACCAGCTGTAAGTGGAAACAGAGACGAGCGCGTAGGAAAGCCTTACATAAACATATCACCAGAATGATTGGCAATTAGGAGGACCACTTATTTAGATGATCCACCGGGAAATAAAAGATCGTCCTCTATACCTTTAAATGAACTATCCTGTAAATATATTTTATGTACATATATATATATGTATATATTCCCTTCAGTCTGATTATCGCTCTATGTGGTTTACTCTTTCAGCTAATGGCATGTGTTATAGTCAGTATATCAAGTTAACGATGAATAGATTACTAAATGAAATGATTATTATTTAAAGACTCCATTATCAAGAATAACTTAATCAACTGTTTCAGTCCTGATTATATAAATATATTGTTTATTAATAACGGTTTTTAATTGTAGAAAAAAAAGCTAAATATAAAACAGCAATGCTAAGATCTGTAAAACTGTTCACATAATTATACAATTCACAGCATTTTAATTTTACTAATATCTAAGGCTGAAATAATCTGATTAATCAATTAATGAAATTATAGCCAACTAATTTGGTAATTAATTAATTGTAAACTGTAGTGTAGAGACTCTGTAGAGTGTAGAGACCAAAATTGTACTAAAAAAAAATTTAACATTTTGCATTGATTAAAACAAACCTTTCCCCCTGTCAATATGCTCTATCCAGAACTCCTCAAGTGGAAAACTTTTAGTTTTACCTGGTTTAATTAAATAAAAATTCTTTCTTAAGGCAAAATTTTGCGATAATTAATTGAATAATTGAAATTAATAATCGACAGACTTATCGATTTGCAAGATAATCGCTTGTTTTAGCCCGACATATATCCCCATCCAAGGTCAACATTTATTTTCTATATACATGTGTGTGTGTGTATATATATATATGTGTGTGTGTTTGGTCTAATGCAAGTTGACATAACTGACAAAGACTCCTGAATAGGTGCTGAAACCTTTTCAGAAAAACTGAGTGAAAGTCTGATTCGCTCTGATTTAAGCGTGTTTTGTGGTTTTTATTGATACCTTTATGATAAAAGGGTCAAAAACTGAGAAAATGGAATATTCTCAGTTACACTGAAAAGAATGAATGCTACAGATGTTTCCTTTGACATAACGTGTGCTAATAGGGTTCAATCTTGATCAAATTAATCAAATTATCTGAAAAAAGAAAAGGTCTTTGTCTAAATTCTTGATTTTTGGCACACTGTGCAGCTGATTTTGACTCTACTAATCTGAACAGTACTGGTTAGTTAGCTTCCCACTAAACTCAGTGAACCGAGGCTAAACATGCGTCTATTATCGGACACAGACCCCGCCTTATGTTTACAAACCGCGTTCGAAGAAAAAAATAAAATAAAGACACGAATTCGGAATTTTGCACCTTTTAATGTTTTAGGGGGGAAATGTGTCTGATTTATTGTGAGAAACCCACAGATGAATCCTTGAAAGTCATAAACGGGCAAAATCTATATGTGTCCGATTATGGAATCACTTCCATCCAAGCATTTAGCCCGCTGATACCTCCCTCTCTGATACAAGCTCACAACAAAACGTTTGACATTTATTTCAAAGCGTTTATAGGCTGAGATGCTTGTATAAGTTTATAATAAAACTTCAATATTTATGTAACTGTTTGAAGTCCTGTCCGACAATGGAATCCGGGCTTAGAAACAGCATTTCTTGTTGCGAAATAGCGGAGCAGGGCGATAGTTTTCTCTCCGCGGCCGAGGAGCCATTTTACGCGCCTTCATGGCCAGAAAATAGACCGCCATGTGCCACGTACCCCCCGCTCCCCCATCTAAGATGATTTCTACCACCTTCATCATGTAAACCTATCCATCCGTTCCACCTAGAAATAAAGAGTAACACCGACAGGAAACTGTTTGATATTAAGTTGTTGGTTTTCCGGGGGAAGTCACACAGAAATTTCCTATTTTACACACGGAGAAAAAACTACTTCCACATCCGGTTAAGTTGCATTCTGCAAGCGTGCATCGTCAAATCGCTCACAGGAGGAGTGCGCGGTTATATTTCCCACCTATTGTGGTTATTTCTGTGAGCGCTAAAGATGTAAAAGCTCAAAAAACACGAGTGTTTTCCTGGCGTGGGACGGCGGAGAGGGCTACTTACCGCGTTCAGGTTTGTTCGGCTCCAACTAGGCTGCTCCTCTGCTACGGTTAGCAAGCTAGCCGGCTAAGAAGAACAAACCCCGCCGCTTGAATAAGATTATTACAATTCTATAGTTTTATTGACGCGCAGCATGCGCTAGTCGCGCCAATAATCTGTTTTAAGACTGGTAAAACACGGGCATTTGGGACCACTGTAGCTTGTCGTAGTCCTCGGAGCTTGTTTACTGCGGAAAGTTAGCTACAGGTATCGGTAACACACCCGGATGTTTACGATTCGGCCTTCAAAATAAGACGGGTATTAATACAAGTTTGATTTCGGTCGATAATTCAGTTTAAAAAAAAAAATGTATATATATATATATATATATATATATATATATATATATATATATTATAAAAACCTGCAATTTTTATGTTGTCAATTTGTTTACATGAGTTATTTAATTACCTATTGTATTATTTATTTATTCCATGATTGGACTAACCTTAAAGCAGTTTGTAATATCTATTTTCTAGCTAAGATGGATCACGTATGATACACGTATCATGTATTAAACTTAAATTTTATTATCACAAAGTTAAGATTCTCAAAATCTAATAATGAATTGACTTACTCAAGAATTTACAAATAAAACAAATATATTGAATAATAAAATATTGTATTGTATGTTTTATATATATATATATATATTTATATATATATATATATCTCAAGTCAAATTCCTTTTAGGTTTGGCAACAAACTTGATTCTGAAATATTTGACTTATTTCCTATACTTTATCTAAAAATATTTTTCTAAGATTTTTTTATGGTCTAGGTTTTAAGCCAAACAACATTTATCTAGCTTAGATTGCCTTAAAAAAATCAAAGTATACCATGAGACAGGCCGGTTTTAAAATAAACATCCGTTGTTCTATCAATAGGTTTGTTAGATCCTCACCTTTAAAAGTGTAGCTGATTTTTTTTTTTTTGTGTGATTTATAATACCTTTCCTAGTGTATCCATTTTATTTTGAAAGTCATAGTAGGAAACTGCTACTTTTTCGCTATGCTATTTTATAGCTAGCTATGTTAGCTGTTAGCCTGCACACATGCAAAGGGTTAACAAGTTAAATTTAGGCTGATTTTACCTCCTTTGCTACCTCGTAGCTGTTGTAATCGGAGGTCATCGGCGTTGAGTCGGGGTCTGTTTGGTATTTACCGGGAGAGGAGGATCTTTTTAAAAAGTTATTAATTGTGTTTTTTTCTTGTACAAATATGGCGGCTGCGCGACACCGGAGGTGGAAGCCATAATAAGCGTTAACCTCGCTGTGGGCGGGGCTTAGTGATAACTGACCTGAGGTCAGTTTACTGCAGCGCAGCTACTTTCAGATGAACGAGTAGTCAGAAAGAAATCTGATCCCAGAAAAGGACGAAAACGAGCAAATTCCTGCTCTGGCTGAGTGACTTTCAAAATTTACAGTTTAATTCACGTCTGAGGAAACTTGTATTTTAATTACCTTAACTCCTTCAATAAAGTGCTTTGTTTTCCTTACTTTAATTTTAAAATATAGTTATCGTTTATTATCTAAAAATGTAATCTTTTCTATCAAAAATACTGAAATCATACATGTAATTTGCCTAATTTTGAAATTTTCCTGTAAATTGTTTATCAGCTTGCCTTTTATTTCATGTAATGTTTTTTGTTTGTGTGAAATTGAAGTTTATTTTCTGAGATGTGGAATCTTATTAATTATTTTGGCAGACGGCGGGGTAATAATGACCATCTCCCTTTTCCAGATAAGCTTGATTAAGAAATGTTTTGTCCAGCTTTATTATTTTTAAGTATGTAACATTCAACACCTTAATTATAGTAAACAAAATTATCTGTAGATTATTACAGCCACAATCCACACAGCTAGCTTTTTTTCATTTTTTTTTTTCAGTTTGCACAAGTTATTTTTTTTTTTGCATTTTTGTTTCTAACCCCTTTTTAAATATCAGGATGCTTTTTTTTTTTATTTTTGTCTTGTTTCTGTGTTACTGGTCTCTCTTTTCATGGAGAGAACTAACCTAAATTATATTACCTGTCAAAATAAAAGTTGTTAATAAAAAAAGATAATTGTGTTTGCTCAGTTCTTTGAAGAATGGTGACCTCTGCTATCTTCACATTTGTAGGTTCATCAGTTGTATTCTTCAGGCGATATATCTTTAGAACAAGAGAAACTTATAAAAACACTGGTCTAATATTTTTACCCTATTTAGAGCTTTTATGCAAATTATCACAGCATCATAAAAGGACAATTCGGTTAAAAATACCAAATGAATCGCAAAGGGAAAAAAAAAATAACTAAAAAAAAAAAAAAGATCAAAAGGATTTTTAGCCCTTCCCATTAAATGCAATTTTTAAATTCATTTGAAGGATAAATGTGTTCACATCCACTTATCCCAGGTCAGTCCCTCATGCTGCAGTATACTAAAGTATGTAAAATCTTAATATATTTGGAGAGAATAGATTTTATTTTATTTTTTTGCTAAAAAATGTATAGCATTTATCAAACTCTAGGTGTTTTATTTTAAACAAAAATTTATGTTTTTTTTTTTTTCTTTTTTGCTTTACTTGTGATGTGAAAACACAATTTTGTTTGTATCCTTTGTGGATAGTTTATTAAACATTTGGGAAATTATGATCTTTAGTTTTAAAGGCTTAAAGGAATAGTACACCCAAAACATGATTAGCCTTCATTTTCTACTCACCCCCATGCTGAACAACACTCTGGAGTACTTTT